GTCACTAAGCGAACTGTTGTAAGTCGAGGACTACCTGTACTTTATCACTTTTTTCCTTTTTTTTTTGGGTCATCAAGTTTTTGACACCTTGCTAGGCAACTGGTGGTACTCGGATGTTGCCATATCCTAAAAGTGGTACACTGGGTGAAAAGGTTGAAAAGCCCTGATCTAGTCCAACCCCCTGCTCACGTTCGGAAACCCAACCCCTACAAGCTCGGAGAACGGACCCTCACCCTCATCCTACTCCCTAAGCTGCAGATATTCGCCACGAATGGGAGCCCCAAATTTATCTCACGAAGGAAAACCTTTAACGCAAATTCTCCCCCCCAGTTTACGACTTTTCTTGTCCCGGTTGTTAAGTGAATCACTGCAACGGTTAAGTTAGTGGCACGGTTGTTAAGTGAATCTGTCTTCCCCCTGTGGACTTTGCTTGTCAGGGCGCCGCAAAAGAGGGGGTCATATGACACCCCCCCCGGGATGCTGCGACCGTTGTAAATATGAGTCAAGTTGCCAAGAGTCCACATTTTGGGGACGCTGCCAGGGTCGTGAGTGTGAAAAACGGCCGTCGGTCACTTTTTTCAGCGCTGTTGTAACTTGGGACAGTCACTAAATGAACCATTGTAAGTCAAGGACTACCTGCAATTGATGAGAGATTTTTAACATGGAAAAAAACATGCTTTTCTAGGGAAGTCTACCCCAGCCTAGAGAGAGTCCTCGAATTACAGCCGTTATTTAGAATGGAATGGAATAGAATAGAAAATATGGAATGGAATGGAATAGAATAGAATAGAATAGAATAGAATAGAATAGAATAGAATAGAATAGAATAGAATAGAATAGAGAATAGAATAGAATAGAATAGAATAGAATAGAATAGAATAGAATAGAATAGAATAGAATAGCAAGGAGAATAGAATAGAATAGAATAGAATAGAATAGAATAGAATAGAATAGAATAGAATAGAATAGAATAGAATAGAATAGAATAGAAGAATGAATGGAATAGAATAGAGTAGAGTAGAGTAGAATAGAAAGTATGGAATGGAATGGAATGGAATGGAATGGAATAGAATAGAATAGAATAGAATAGAATAGAATAGAATAGAAGAATGAATGGAATAGAGTAGAGTAGAGTAGAGTAGAGTAGAATAGAAAATATGGAATGGAATGGAATGGAATGGAATAGAATAGAATAGAATAGAATAGAATAGAATAGAATAGAATAGAATAGAATAATGAATGGAATAGAGTAGAGTAGAGTAGAATAGAAAGTATGGAATGGAATGGAATGGAATAGAAAAGAGAAGAGAAGAATGAATGGAATAGAATAGAGTAGAGTAGAGTAGAGTAGAGTAGAATAGAAAGTATGGAATAGAATGGAATGGAATGGAATGGAATAGAATAGAATAGAATAGAATAGAATAGAATAGAATAGAATAGAATAGAATAGAATAGAATAGAATAGAACAGTGTTTCCCAAACTTGACAATTTTAAGGCATGTGGACTTCAACTCCCAGAATTCCACAGCCAGCAATGCTGGCTGTGGAATTCTGGGAGTTGAAGTCCACATGCCTTAAAATTGTCAAGTTTGGGAAACACTGGAATAGAAGAATGAATGGAATAGAATAGAATAGAATAGAATAGAATAGAATAGAATAGAATAGAATAGAATAGAATAGAATAGAATAGAATAGAATAGAATAGAATAGAGAGACCATAGAGGTCTTCTAGTCCAGCCCCCGGCTTAAGCAGGAGAACCTATACCATTTCAGATATGACAGTCTAGTCTCTTCTTAAAAGCCTCCAGTGATGGAGCACTCAAAATTTCTAAAGGCAAGCTGTCCCACCGGTTAATTGTCCTCACTGTTAGGAAGTTTCTCCTTAACTCCAGAATGTGGAGCAAAGTCTACAACAAACTCTTTGCCTGAATCCACACGCTGCTCTGTTCATCTTGTCCCTCAGTAAATCCATATGCAAAGAAGTAGAAGAGAATATATATCTCAGAGCTGAACTGTGGGGTCCTTGGTGTTCTCTGAGTTCAGTTGTGAAATTTAAATTAAAGGGAGACTAGTCTAGCTATTTCTGAGTTTGGTTGTTTTCCTGCAGACATTTCATGACCCAACTAGGTAACATCATCAGTGGTGAGTGTGGGGTTGACTCCCTGTTTAGATAGGCAATAGCTTGCCCCTCCCGTGTTGGCGGGGAGGTGTGCTTTTCTCCTTGGTAATTCCTTGATGAGGGTATTGTTTTCTGCTTGATTATTTGTCTGGTGTTAATCCCTGCTTATCTGCTGTTGATTGCTGGAGGGGATATATTCTGGTCTCTTTGTTTCCTTCTTAGCTTTCTTTCATTGTTTCTTTTGAATGGCGTGTAAATGTGGTCTATCGCTATGTGTCAATCAGCCATCAATCGTCTATTGCAATCATCGCCTATTCTATTCAGCAATCATGATCTATTCAGCCATCAATAGACACACAGAGATGTGGATATGGATCACCAGGCTCATCGATAGATACAGAGAGAGAGGTGGATATGTGGAGAGCATCAAAGGCTCCCAAAATCCATATGCAAATTATATTTCTCTCAACGATGTTCAAATCAGCTGCCTGCACAAGAATCCATGACGAGCCAAGGAAGGGCAGACTTCCTTGTCGCAACTTGATAGTAAGTTGGAACTCATGGCCTTGAGTCCTGGATCTGATGATCTCATTGGATGAGAGAGTCTTCTCAATGGCCCCTTGAGTTTGAAGGGGACTTCTCTTCTCAAGCCTACTGAATCCCAGTTCCATCATCCTTCTCATGGTTTTTTTTTTCTTATTTCTGGTCCCCTGAAGATCTTAATGTCCTTCTCTGGACCAGTTTCTCTGAATTCTTCTTGAAGAACAGTGACCAGAGCCAGAACCAGCACTTGGGATGGGTGTGACCAACACAGTATAATTAATTGGAAATTCTTTCCTTCTTGTAACATCAAAACTATACTTTGGCTGAGAGCTAGCTAGATAGCTAGATACTGCTAGATAGATAGATAGATAGATAGATAGATAGATAGATAGATAGATAGATAGATAGATAGATAGATAGATATACTGCTAGATAGAGATAGATAGATAGATAGATAGATAGATATAAATATAAATAGATAGATAGACAGATAGATAGATACTGCTAGATAGAGATAGATAGATAGATAGATAGATAGATAGATAGATAGATAGATAGATAGATATAAATATAAATAGAGATAGATAGATAGATACCGATATAGATAGATGGATGGATAGATAGATAGATAGATAGATAGATAGATAGATAGATAGATACCACTTGATAGCTAGATATAGAGATAGATATAGAGATAGAAATATATATATTTCTATATATATATATATATATGTAGGTCTTTGGTTGTTCGGGTTTTCTCCCGCGTAAAATTGGAAGTGTCTTGGCGACGTTTCGACGAAGTCCCATTCGTCATCTTCAGGCTGGTGTTTTCAGCTTCGTGCTTCGAGCAGCACGAAGCTGAAAACACCAGCCTGAAGATGACGAATGGGACTTCGTCGAAACGTCGCCAAGACACTTCCAATTTTACGCGGGAGAAAACCCGAACAACCAAAGACCTACATACAAACACCCGCGAAAACCTCAGAAAACAAAATATATATATTTGTTTATATATATAAATATATATATATATATATATATAATATATATATATATAATATATATATAATATATATAATATATATATATATAAACCAACAGAAGAATAAGTGCACGCATTGAAGAACATAAGAACTCAGTCAAAAAAGAGGAACCAACATCTTCCCTGGTCCAACACCTTAAAGCCACAGGACATGAAATTGACTTTAAAAATACCAGAACCATTGCCAAAAGTGAACATTTTAATAACAGAATAATCAGAGAAGCCATCGAGATAGAAAAACGCCCACACAGCATGAACAAGCGAGATGATACCTCCCGCCTACCAGCCATTTGGAAACCGCCCTTATTGACAAACGACTCCCTAACCCCAAAATCTTAAACCCCTCTGCAACTCAGACTAACCTGAGCACAACCAAACAGAACACTCCCCCAGCCAATCAGAGCACAGCCAACCCCCTAACCAGCCCCTTCAGAACACACCTCCACCCAATCAGAACACAGCCAAGCTCCCATCCAATCAGTTCATACCCTCACTGGCAGTTAAAAGGAAGAAACAGCTAAAACCACACATTGCTGCTCAAAGCAAGAAGCTAAAAACACCAGCCTGAAGATGACGAATGTGACTTCATCGAAACGTTGCCAAGACACTTCCAATTTTACGCGGGAGAAAACCCGAACAACCAAAGACCTATATATATATATATATATATATATATATATATAAAGAGAGAGAGAGAGATCTTGTAACATCAAAACTATACCTATACCTTATATATATTTCCATCAGTCAAAATATAGTTTTGAGATATATATATATATGTGTTTGTATGTATGGCCAAGGTTTCTCTATCAGTTGTGTCTGGCGGGGCCTGGTGCTCCTTCTCTGTTTTTTGGCCGAGGGAGCCAGTGTTGTCCGATGCCAATTTAGCGGCCATGTGGCCAGCCTGGCTATATGCCAAAGATGCAAGGAACGCTGTTGCTTTCCCACCAAAGTGGTACCTATTAATCTACTCGCATCTGCCTGCCTAGGTGAGCAGGAGCAGGAGGCAAGGAACAGGAGCTCTCCCCGTTATGCAAAGTTCAGGTCTCAAATCCGGGCCGTGAATTCTTCAAGCTCAACTTCTTTTAACTGCTGAGTCCTCGCGCACACACACACACACACACACACACACACCTTCCACATATACAAAATGGGTGCAAAACTCGCTTAGCCAATGTCTCGCTTAGCAACAAAACTATGGGCTCAATTGTGGTTGTAAACTGAGGACTACCTGTACTGCATTGGTGTCTTTTGCATAACTGCATGGGATTGATAACGGTCCGTTCCTTTTTTTAGGTGCCAGACGGGTCTCTGGTGGCTTTGGTGTCCAAGCAAGTTACTGCTTACAACGCAGTGAACAATTTCACCGTCTCAAGGACTTCGGCAAGCAAGTATGGTAAGGATTTTTCCATCAGAGGCATGTGAGGAGGCGAAAGTCAGTGAGGACATATAGACCATCCTTTTCCAGATGGTTTAGACCAGGGGTGGGGAACCATGACCCTTTTATGACGTGTGAACTTCAACTCCCAGAATTCCTGAGCCAGCCATGCTGAGGGGAAAGGGAGAGGTTTCCATGCTGAGCCCTGCTGGCTCAGGAATTCTGGGAGTTGAAGTCCACACATCATAAAAGGGCCCTGGTTCCCCATCCCTGGTTTACACACTGAGAGGACAGTAACAATCTGACAAGCCCTGAGGAACACAAATTACAGAATAATCTCTATAATAAAATATGGCCAAAATTGTGAGAAATAATATATAATTTGGAGTTGAATGTCCTACACCCAGTGGTGGAATTCAGCCGGCTCGCACCACTTTGGTAGAACCGGTAGCTAATTTTTTGTTGCCCAGGCCCAGAACGGACTTCCGGAAGCAGCATCCCCACAGAGAACCGGTTGTTCACATGTTTGAATCCCACCACTGCCTACACCCCGGAACAAAATACATGAAGTAACAAATAACAGAACAGAACAACGAGACTGGAAGGGGACCTTGGGGATCAAATCAAACTTTGAACATCTCGATCCAGCTGTTTTTAGACTAGCAACTCATTCCTCAATACACCGCTCCAGTTACTCTTAGGAAAACCAGTTCAAATCCAATAAAGAAAACCATTGGTAGCTTACATTTGAAATGAGCGCTCCTTGGTGCTCTCTGAGCTGGGTTGTTTTCTTGCAGACGTTTCATGACCCAACTAGGTAACATCATCAGTGCTAGAAGGGAAGGGGGATTGTGGAGAGGAGGAGGAGGAGGAGGAGGGGGAGAATTGTGGGCTCCTTGGTGCTGTCTGAGCTGGGTTGTTTTCTTGCAGACGTTTCGTGACCCAACTAGATGACATCATCAGTGCTAGGAGGGAGTGGGGTTTGCTCTCTGTTTATATACAGCACAAGCCTCTTGTGGCACTGATGTTGTTACCTAGTTGGGTGATGAAACGTCTGCAAGAAAACAACCCAGTTCAAACAGCACCAAGGATTCCCTCGCCGTTTCAATCCCCCCCCCCACACACACACTTAGACCTTGGAAGACCATCTTCAAGGATTTGTGTCCCATTTTGTGCTTTTTCAGAAAACATGATCCGATACACCGGAAGTCCGGACAGTTTGCGTTCCCGGACGCCCATGATTACGCCCGACCTAGAAAGTGGTGTGAAGATGTGGCATTTAGTGAAGAACCACGAGCATGGCGATCAGAAAGAAGGGGATCGAGGGAGCAAGATGGTATCTGAAATCTACCTGACAAGGCTGCTAGCCACTAAGGTAGGTGAGGCTGGAAAGAAGGGTCTGGACCCCAAAAGGGAAGGGGGGGGAACAGAAAAAAATGGAATTGTGCCAATCAAAGAGAATCTTTGTAGCTGAGGGTTGAATTGTGGGATCCTTGGTGCTCTCTGAGCTGGGTTGTTTTCTTGCAGACATTTCATCACCCAACTAGGTAACATCATCAGTGCTAGAAGGGGGGGTTGTGTAGAGGAGGAGGAGGAGGAGTAAGAGGACTGTGTGGGTCCTTGGTGCTCTCTGAGCTGGGTTGTTTTCTTGCAGACATTTCATGACCCAACTAGGTAACATCATCAGTGCTAGAAGAGAGTGGGGTTTGGGGGGGGGAAGAGAAGAAGAAGAAGAAGAGGAGGAGGAGGAGGAGGAGGAGGAGGAGGAGGAGGAGGAGGAGGAGGAGGAGGAGGAGGAGGAGGAGGAGGACTACTGTGGGGTCCTTGGTGCTCTCTCAGCTGGGATGTTTTCTTACAGACGTTTCATCGCCCAACTAGGTAACATCATCAGTGCTAGAAGGGAGTGGGGCTTGCTCTCTTTTTATATACAAGTGACTTTCCCTCAGTTGGTAGAACTGTTCTTGGTGTCTTGATGATTGTTTATTGTTGGAATCCTTGTCTTCAACCTAGTGAAGTCAATATGGTAAGTTATTAAAGTTCTAAGAGATATTTCCAACCGTGACCCCATCAATGAGGTCTTGCACCTTTCCTGCAGCTCCAATCAATTAAACCAGGGGTGCTTCAACCTTGGCTACCTTAAGACCTGTGGATTTCACGGCTGGCTGGGGAATTCTTCCATAAGTCTTAAAGTCGCCATGGTTGCAAACCTCTGTATTAAATCCTAATTTTTGTGATACCTTCCTGATGCAAGCATTGTTCGCCATTTGCAGAAATGGCCCTGTTCCACCTCATTTCTCATCTGCAAGGGGTTCCTCAGGAGAAGAGCCTTTAGTGGAAGGCAGGAGGGAGAAAGAGAGAGTCAGAGACAGAAAAAGAGAGAGGGGAAAAAAAGAGGGAGAAAAAAAGAGGGAGAAAGAAAAAGAAAGAGAGAAAGAGTGACAAAGAGAAAGAGACAGAGGAACGAAAAGAAAGAGACATAGAGAAAGAGAGAGAGAGAGAAACAGTAAAAGAGAGAGAAAGAAAGAAAAAGAAAAAGACAGATACAAAAGAAGAGAAAGGGAGAGAGAGAAAGAGTACAAGAGAGAAAGAGACAGAAAAAAAGAGACAGAGAAAGAGAAACAGAAAGAGACAGAGATACAAAAGAAAGAAAGAAGGAAGGAAAAGAAAGAAAGAAAGAAAGAAAGAAAGAAAGAAAGAAAGAAAGAAAGAAAGAAAGGGAGAGGGAGAGGCAGGGAGGGAGAGAGACAGAGAGAGTGACAGAGAGACAGAAAAAAAAGAGAAAGGGAGAAAGAGAAAAAGATAGAGATACAAAAGAAAGAGAAAGAAAGAGGGGGAGAGAGAAAGTAAAAGAGAGAAAGAAAGAGACAGAGAGAAACAGAAAGAGACAAAGAGAGAGTGAAACAGAAAGAGACAGATACAAAAGAAAGGAAGAAAGAAAGAAAGAGGGAGCGGGAGAGAGGGAGAGGGAGAGAGAGAGAGAGACAGACCAGAAAGAGTGAAACAGAGAGAAAGAGAAAAAGACAGATACAAAAGAAAGAGAAAGAAAGAGAAGGGGGAAAGAGAAAGAGTAAAAGAGAGAGAGAGAGAAAGAAAGAAAGAGACAGAGAGAAAGAGACAGAAACAGAAAGAGACAGACATACAAAAGAAAACGAAAGAAGGAAAAGAAAGAGGGAGAGGGGAGAGAGAGAAAAAAAAGAAAGAAAGAAAAAGACAGATACAAAAGAAAGAGAAAGAAAGAGAAGGGGGAGAGAGAAAGAGTAAAAGAAAGAGACAGAAAAACAGAAAGAGACAGAGATACAAAAGAAAGAGAAAGAAAAGGAAGAAAGAGGAAGGGGGAGAGAGAGAGGGAGAGGGAGGAGAGAGAGACAGAGAAAAAAAGAAAAAGACAGACAAAAGAAAGAGGGGGAGAGAGAAAGTAAAAGAAAGAGAGAGAAAGAAAGAGAAAAAGAGACACACAGAGAGAAACAGAAAGAGGCAGAGATACAAAAAAAGAGAAAGGAAAAAAAGAAAGAGGAAGGGGGAGAGAGAGAGAGAGAGAGAGAGACTCCCAAATGGGTTGCTTGACAAGGAAACCGTCTCTCCTCCACGGAGGTGTTGACCTCAGCTGAAGCGCTGGAGAGGAAGGAAGCTCTCGGCTGTCACCCGAGCGCAGGGCTTCCAGGGGAGATGATTTGTGTGTGACAGCTTTATAATTCTCCGTTGTTGACTTTCGGCCCAGGGAAGACGGCGAAGGTGGTTTAACACTCAGCGCCTCCCATCTTTTCCTTGCTCACCGCCAAGGCTGGGCGATTTATGCAGCATTGATTTTGCTGACACTTTCGAAGCGCCAAACCCAGCAGAGCAAAGGGGGGGGGGAACCGGTGCAGGCAGGGAAGGGAAGTGATTTCCCAGAGACAAATGGGGGGGTCCCTTTGTGGGGGTGCTGGCTCCCTTTTTCTCCCCCCCCCCCGCGCTGACCATGCCCTGCCCCTGATGGCGCCCGTGAATGCCATCTTGGCTTATATTTCCTCTGAACAAGTCAGCTGAGATACGTTTGCCTTTGGTGGTGGCTCATTTTATTTATTTATTTATTTGTTTGTTTATGAGACTTATATACCGCTTTAAGTGCAAGCACTCTCTAAGCGGTGTACACCAGTAAGCAATGTATATATATATTTACATTGCCCCCAACAATCTGGGTCCTCATTTTACCTACCTCGGAAGGATGGAAGGCTGAGTCAACCTTGAGCCGGTGAGATTTGAACCGCTGACCTGCTGAACACAGTCAGCTAAAGTGGCCTGCAGTACTGCACTCTAACTGCTGCGCCACCTTGGCTCATTTTGTGTGGTTTTTGCAAGACCCGAACGAATCGAGAGCCTGGGGTAATTTCCTGGGATGGCCTGTTTCACACCACAGGCCCAGAGAACATAGACTCACAGATTGAAGGCACCTTAGAGGTCCTCTAGTCCAACCTCCTGCTCAAGCAGGAGACTCTATGCCATTCTGGAGAAATGGCTGATGCAATCTTTTCTTAAAAACCTCCAGTGTTGGAGCACCCACAACTTCTGTTCCACTGGTTAATTGTTCCAACTGTGAGGAAATTTCTCCTTAGTTCCGGGTTGCTTCTCTCCTTGGTTAGTTTCCACCTGTTGCTTCTTGCCCCACCTTCAGGTGCTTTGGAGACTAGCTTGACTCCCTCTTCTTTGGGGCAGCCCCTCAGATACTGGGAGAGTGCTATCATGTCACCCCTAGTGCTTCTCTTCGTTAGACAATCATATCTAGTTCCCTTAGTTGTTGATCACGATGGCATTAAGAAAATAACGGAGTTGGAAGGGACCTTGGAGGTCTTCTAGTCCAACCCCCAGCTCAAGCAGGAGACCCTACACCAGTGATGGCGAACCTTTTAGAGACCGAGTGCCCAAACTGCAACCCAAAACCCACTTATGGATCGTCGAGTGCTGGGTGGGTGTGGCCCATTGGGTGGGTGTGGCCCATTGGGTGGGCGTGGCTGCGGTGGTAACGGCAGACTGGGTGGGACTAAAAAGTTCAATCAATCCATTCCAACTTTGCAAGATCTTTTTTTTCCCCGCGAGAAGTTGAAATTGACTGATTGGACCTTTTTTTTTTTTTGCGTACGGCGGGGAGGCCTAAAGCGAAAAAGTTTTATAAAACCCAGCTGAAGGCCTAGGACTGGGGCGACAGCACGCGTGCCCACAGAGAGGGCTCTGCGTGCCGCCTCTGGCACCCGTGCCATAGGTTCTCCACCACTGCCCTATAGGATTTCAGTCAAATGGCTGCCCAATTTCTACTTAAAAACCTCCAGCAATGGAGTACCCACAACTTCTGGAGGCAGGTTATTCCACTGATTAATTTCTCCTTTGTTCTAGGTTGCTTCTCTCCTTGATTAGTTTCCATCCGTTGCTTCTTGTCCTGCCTTCAGGAGCTTTGGAGAATAGCTTGACTGCCTCTTCTTTGGGGCAGCCCCTCAAGTACTGGGAGACAATCCTCTTCATGGCGTTCCCCTTGCGAAATGTTTCTAATGTTGGTTTTAATCGTTTCAAAGCTTGGAATCCTGATTCGTTCTGGTTGTAACGTTTCGTTTTCTGGGTTGTCAAGGGCACTTTACAGAAGTTCGTGGACGACCTCTTCGAGACGATCTTCAGCACCGCACATCGGGGCAGTGCGCTGCCCCTGGCCATCAAGTACATGTTTGACTTCCTGGATGAGCAAGCCGATAAGCACAACATCCACGATCCTCACGTGCGGCACACCTGGAAGAGCAATTGGTGAGTGCTTCCCAAGAGCCCGGCACACCTGCCCTCCCAGCAGGACGAGGGAAGAGAAGGCCGTTTGGAGAGGGCTCTTAAAGTGTAAAGGAAGGTTTGGAAGGAGGGAGAGAAAAGAGAGGGGAAGGGAAGGAGGGAAGGAAGGAAGGAAGGAAGGAAGGAAGGAAGGAAGGAAGGAAGGAAGGAAGGAAAGAAAGAGAGAGAGAGAAAAAGGAAGGAAGGAAGAAAGGAGGAAGAAAGAAAGAAAAAAGAAAGAAAGGAAGGAAGGAAGGAAGGAAGGGAAAGGAAGGGAGGAAGGAAGGAAGGAAGGAAGGAAGAAAGAAGGAAGAAGAAAGAAAGAAGGAAGGAAGGAAGGAAGGAAGGAAGGAAGGAAGGAAGGAAGGAAGGAAGAAAGAAAGAAGGAAGAAGAAAGAAGGAAGGAAGGAAGGAAAAGAAAGAAAGGAAGGAGGAAGGAAGGAAGAGAAAGAAAGGAAGGAAGGAAGGAAGAAAAAAGGAAAGAAGGAAGGAGGAAGGAATGGAAAGGAAGGAAAAAGGAAGGAAGGAAGGAAGGAAGAAAAAGAAAGGAAGGAAGGAAGAAGGAAGAAGAAAGAAAGAAGGAAGGAAGGAAGGAAGAAAGAAGGAAGAAGAAAGAAAGAAGGAAGGAAGGAAGGAAAAGAAAGAAAGGAAGGAGGAAGGAAGGAAGAGAAAGAAAGGAAGGAAGGAAGGAAGAAAAAAGGAAAGAAGGAAGGAGGAAGGAATGGAAAGGAAGGAAAAAGGAAGGAAGGAAGGAAGAAAAAGAAAGGAAGGAAGGAAGAAGGAAGAAGAAAGAAAAGAAAGAAGGAAGGAAGAAAAAGAAAGGAAGGAAGGGGAAGGAAGGAAGGAAGAAAAAGAAAGGAAGGAGGAAGGAAGAGAAAGAAAGGAAGGAAGGAAGAAAAAAGGAAGGAGGAAGAAAGAAAGAAAGAAAGAAAGAAAGAAAGAAAGAAAGAAAGAAAGAAAGAAAGAAAGAAAGAAAGAAACTTGGAACTAATAAAACATTAGCATATTATTAACATCATCTGTGGCACTCATTTAAGGCTGATTGAAGCCACTCTGGTGGGGGGGCTTCTTTAAAGAGGGGGGGAAAGGGGTGGGCGTTGAAAGCGGGATTAAAGGAACGGAGACATGGTTTTGAGCAGATTCAATTAATTCCATGTCCGTTTCCCCAACTTCTTTCCTCACGATGTTTTCTTGACTTATCGCCCGCTCCTCCCTGCAAAGAGAGCAACACCCGGGGATTCAGGGAAATCAGAAACAGAGACTCACGAGGACATTAATAAAATAGCCAAGAACATGTCTTAGAAGGGATGGAGCTGGAGGACATTTCTCTTTGGGCTATTGGGGAACATTTCTCTTGGATTAAAACAATGGCGGGCGTTGACACTTGGGAAGGTGAGTGAGGATGAAGGACTCAGGAGAAACCCTTTCGAGCAATGTTTTTTGTCTGCTCAGTCAAAACATCTGCCTAGATGTCATCTAGAAATATCACAGTGAGCTTCTCCAAGGTGGTGCCCTCCAGATGTACAATCAGAGCTGGAAGGGACCTCGGAGGTCTTCTAGTCCAACCCCCTGCTCAAGCAGGAGATCCTATACCATGGCTGTCCAGTCTCTTCTTTAAAAAACCCAGTCATGAAGCACCCACAACTTCTGGAGGCAAGAGTTCCACTGGTTAATTGTCTCACTGTTAGGAAGTTTCTCCTTAGTTCCAGGTTGCTTCTCTCCTTGATGAGTTCCCATCTATTGCTTCTTGTCCTGCCTTCGGGGGCTTTGGAAAATAAGTGGACCCCCTTTTCATTGTGGCAGCCCCTCAAATGTTGGAACACTGCTATCATGGTCCCCCCTCGTCCTTCTCTTCGTTTGACTAGCCATTACCCAGTTCCTGCCACCGTTCTTCGTATGTTTTAGTCTCCAGGGTCTTTGATCCTCTGAATTATTCTTCTCTACACTTCTCCAAACTCCATTTGAATAAATGAATAAGTCCATTTTTCCAAAGTCTCAACATCTTTTTTTTTTTGTAACGTGATGACCAAAACTGGATTCCAAGTTGTGATGGCTTCCAAGTTGTCTCACTCACACCCAATGTGATGGAAAGCTGATTTAACATTATGAACAGCGTCTAGGGAAGGGTGATCCAAATTGCAGTGTTACGTGGCTTTGTGATTGTTGTTCAGTCGCTAAGTTGTGTCCAACCCCTCATGATCCCATGGACCACAGCATGCTAGGACCCCCGTCTTCCACTGTCTCCTGGAGTATGCCCAAATTCATGTTTGTTGTGTCGATCTAACCATCTCATCCTCTCGTGTTCCCTTCTCCTTTGGCCTTCAGTTGTAGGAACTCCTCGACGTATTCCTTTAGTAGCACTTTTCAAAGTTACAACGGCACGGAAGAAAGTGATTTATGACCATTTCCCCACACTTATGACCCATGAGCCAATCAATGGGGAAAGCCAGATTAATTTAACAAGCTTAACAACCATGGTGACTCAGTTAACAACCCGGGCAGAAGAGGTGGTAAAATTGGGAATTGTTCAGCAGTCCCATCAGTTTAGGGATGGAAGTTCGATTTCTAACTGTGGTGGTAAGTCAAGGACGACTCGTATTTGAGTTTTAAAAACCATAACACCTCCATGTCTTTTCTTCTGTCTTGACTTCAGCTTGCCCTTGAGGTTTTGGGTGAACATGATCAAAAATCCGCAGTTTGTCTTCGACATTCACAAGAACAGCATCACAGATGCCTGCTTATCGGTGGTAGCACAAACCTTCATGGATTCTTGTTCAACCTCAGAGCACCGTTTGGGCAAAGATTCCCCGTCTAATAAACTGCTTTATGCCAAGGATATCCCCAGCTACAAGAACTGGGTAGAAAGGTAGGTCTGACACTTTCTCTCTCTCTCTCTCTCTCTCTCTCTCTCTCTCTCTCTCTCTCTCTCTCTCTTTCCTTCTCTCTCTCTCTCTCTGCTTTCTTTCTTTTCTCTCTGCTGTCTTTTCTCCTCTCTCTCTTCATTCTGTAGCTCTTCTCTCTCTCTGCTTTCTCTCTCCTCTCTCTCTTCTCTCTCTCTCAATCTCTTCTTTCTCTTCTCTCTCTCTTTCTCTGTCCTTTCTTTCTCTCTGCTTTCTCTCTGCTCTTTCTTATCTTTTTCTCTCTTCTCTCCCTCTTCATTCTATCTCTCTCTTCCCTCTCTTTTCTATCTCTCTCAATCTCTTCGCTCTCTCTCTCGCTCTCTCTCCGTTCTCTCTCTTTCCTTCTCTCTCTCTCTCTCTGCTTTCTGTCTCTTCTCTTTCTTTTCTCTCTGCTGTCTTTTCTCCTCTCTCTCTTCATCCTGTATCTCTTCTCTCTCTGCTTTCTCTCTCCTCTCTCTCTTCTTTCTCTCTCAATCTCTTATTTCTCTTCTCTCTCTCTTCTCTCTCTCTTTCTCTGTCCTTTCTCTCTCTCTGCTTTCTCTCTCTGCTTTCTTTCTTTTCTCTCAGCTCTCTTCTTCTCTTTTTCTCTCTTCTCTCCCTCTTCATCCTGCCTCTCTCTCTTCTCTTTCTCTCTTTCTCTCTCTGTCCCTTCTCTCTCTCTGCTTTCTCTCTGCTCTCTCTTCTTATCTTTTTCTCTCTTCTCTCCCTCTTCATTCTATCTCTCTCTTCCCTCTCTCTCTTTTCTGTCTCTCTCAATCTCTTCTCTTTCTCTCTCTCTCCTCTTTCTCTCTCTCTTCTTTCTCTCTCTATAAGAGCATTACAGGTAGCTGTCAATTTACAAGACCACTGAAAAAAGTGGTCTCTTCTGACTGTTTTTCACACTTACGACCATTGCAGCCTCCCTGTGTTCACGTGATCAACATTTGGATACTAGTCAACTGCCTCATGACGGTTGCAACTGGCATGTACTGATGACGGTTGTAGGGTCCCGGGGGGTCACGTGACCCCCTTTTGCAACCTTCTGACGAGCGCAGTCTACAGGGGAAGTCAGATTCACTGAGCAACCCCGTTGCTAACTTAACAACTGCAGCGATTCACTTAACAACTGTGGCAAGAGAGGTCGTAAAATGGGGCCAACGCTCACTTAACAAACGGAAGGGAGGGAGGGAGGGAGGGAGAAAAGGAGGGAGGGAAGAATGGAGGGAGGGAGGCAGGAGGAAAGGAAGGAAGGGAGGGAGAAAAGGAGGGAGGGAAGAATGGAGGGAGGGAGGCAGGAGCAAAGGAAGGGAGGAAGGGAGGGAGGGAGAAAAGGAGGGAAGAAAGGAGGCAGGGAGGCAGGAGGAAAGGAAGGAAGGGAGGGAGGGAGAAAAGGAGGGAGGGAGGCAGGAGGAAAGGAAGGGAGGAAGGGAGGGAGGGAGAAAAGGAGGGAGGGAGGCAGGAGGAAAGGAAGGAAAGGAGAGAGGGAGAGAGGGAGGGAGAAGGAGAGGGAGACAAGAAGGGGAGGCAAGAATGGCAGGAGGCAGGCAGGAGGAAAGGAAGGAAGGAAGGAAGGAAGGAAGGAAGGAAGGAAGGAAGGAAGGAAGGAAGGAAGGAAGGAAGGAGGGGGAGGGAAGAGAAGGAGGGAAGAATGGTGGGAGGGAAGGGAGGGAGGGAGGGAGGGAGGGGAAGGCGAATGGAGGTTTCCAATGTTTCCTGTCAGATTCCGACAAGGAAATTCAATGGGGAAGCCAACAGGAAGTCAGAAGGTGCACCTGTTCCCTCTGTTGTTGTTGGGGTTTTTTTGCCTGTCCTTGGTCATTCTTTTTCTCTGCTCAGGTAAGGCAATATCTCTCAAACGATGACCCAATAGGCACAGGTCGACTAGCTCATAATTAAATGTCTCCAAGAACATCACACCACACTATTAGCCTCCCAGCAGAATTCTTTCCTTTTTGGCTCCGAGATTAAATTCGCTGGACGGTCCAAACCCACGCTGTTTCCTCTGACAGTTCCCCCGGAGGACCCACAGCCTTCTCCCGGACCGAGATCAGAGACGACAACTTGACCCTCACAACCCTGGCCGACATAATGAGCCCATCTCGCCTGCAGTCTGGTCAGTGACCCAGCCAGCCTTTGCAAAGCCCTCACAACGTTTACGACCTCCTTCCCTAGGGCTTGTAAGCAGCTTGCGTTTCCTCTCATCCTCGCGAACGTTGGCCTGGAGTGAAAATGGGAGCGTAATTAAGCCAGGGTATCTCCTGTGCTGCCTTTGGGTTGCTAAGAAACTGCATCGGTAGAAGGCGAAGTCTCCATCCAATTCTAAAAAATAATTATCTGGTCAATTGGGAACACGGCCGCGGCTGAGTTGAGCAAAATAGCCTTTCATATTGCCTACAACATAGAAGCCTTTAGCGGGTTTGGGCCTCTCTTCCTGACAAATGAGCTCACGCCAAGCTCGAAGAAAGGACGAGCAGTGGGGTGCTTCTCAAACAACGGTACAAAAACGGGAATGCCCGCTTTTTGAAGATTAACCGGCGCAGACTCGCCAAGTGGATTGAAGTGCCAACCGTCAGGAAAACAGGAAAAATAGGAGCTGCTAAACATGCCATTAGAACAGGAGTCCCCAACCCCCAGGCCGTGGACGAATACCAGGCCATGACATGCCAGCAACCGGTCCGCAGAAACAAGCAAAGCCCCATCCGCGGGATGCAGGCAGCACACGAAACCCCGCACCCCCCGGTCTGCGGAAAAACTTCTCTCCACGGAACCGGTCCCTGGTGCCCAAAAGGTTGGAGACCTCCACATTAGAACATCGGCACATCTCTGAGGCGTCAATCTGCACTGGGCACAGGTAGTGCCTCAATGTACAATGGTTCATTTAGTGACCGAAATTAACAGTGGCACTGAAAAAAAAAGGAACCGGTGACCATTTTTCACACTTACGACTGTGGTAGCCTCCCCACGGTCTCATGCTCAAAATTCGGACGCTTGGCAACTGACATGTACTTATGACGGTTGCAGTGTCCCGGAGTCGTGTGATCCCCTTTTGCGACCTTCTGACAAGCGAAGTCAATGGGGGGGAAGCCCGATTCACTTCGCACCCGTGTTCTTCACTTAACGACTGCCGTGGTTCGCTTAACAACTGTGGCAAGGAAGGTCGTGAAATGGGGCCAAATCCATTTCTTGCTTAGCGATGGACACTTTGGGCTCTGTCGCTGTCGTAAGTCGAGGACTTCCTGTGTTTTCACATCTTTCCTTGCTAACGTTCAAGCAGCATCTATTATCCCGTACGATGTATCCGTTATTTGGATTTATTGCACAAATCAAGATGGCCTTTGTCGCGTCAGCAAAGTTGCTGCTTTGGGACATGCAACAAGGCCTTGAAAGCACTTCCTAACTAAAGGAGTAGAGTTTACGCTGCAACCAGCCTCTAACACACCCAGATGTTTCTGTTCCCTTGTCAAGTGGTCACGGTTGCTATGGATGCTTTTTACGTGAGGCCTTTAAATCTGTTTGCTTGAGCTCATGATAAATAATCACTTTGTTTGTTGGGGTGTCAAGTGGTCAAGGTTGAGAAATGCTTCGGCTTCATCTGGTCTTTCCCAGCTGAGCTGTCTGTCTGGAAAGATTCCTGTGTTACAGGCAGTAAACAATAAAGTAGCTAGTATTACACAATGCGGGTCGGGCTGTTTGCAGTGGACAATACAGATCGTCCTCGACTTACCAACGCAGTTGAGCCCAAAATTTATGTTGTTAAGCGAGGCGTTTGCGACGTGAGCTTCACCCCATTTTATGGCTTTTCTTCCCACATTTGATAAGTGAATCCCTGCCCTTCTTCCTTTCGTCACATGGTTGTCAGGCGAATTTGACTTCCCCGTCGACTTTGTCAGAAGGCCACAAAAGGAAATCACTGCGACCATCATAAATATGAAGCGGTTGCCCAGCGTCTGAATTTTGATCACGAGATGCTGCAATGGTTGTGTGAAAAACGGTCATAAATCCCAGAACTGTTGTAACTCTGGAACAGTTGTTCAACAAACTGTTGTAAGTCGGCGACTACCTATATAATAGACCCGTGGTGGCGAACCTATGGCACGCATGCCACAGGTGGCACGCAGAGCCCTCTCTGTGGGCACGCATGCTGTCGCCCCAGTTCTAAGCCTTCAGCTGGGTTTTATAAAACTTTTTCGCTTTAGGCCTCCGCCATCGTGTGCAAAAAAAAAAAAGGTTCAATCAGTCAATTTCAACTTCTCTCAGGAAAAAAAAAGATCTCGTAAAGTTGGAATTGATTGATTGACCTTTTTAGTCCCGCCCAGTCTGCTGTTACCACTGGAGCCACGCTCACCCAATGGGCCACGCCCACCCAATGGGCCACGCCCACCCGGCACCTGACTATACATAAGTGGGTTTTGAGTTGCAGTTTGGGCACTCGGTCTCTAACACATTCGCCATCACTGTAATAGACCCTTGAGCTAAAATGTCCCATGTTGATATCCTTAGTAATGTGGGCATCAGCTCCGCTGTCTTCTTCTAGATGGATTTCAACCATCAAAACAGGTTGGTGCCACTAGGTTGCCACCATCACCTGGTTGTGTTTTCTTTGACTTTGTGGTTCTTCTGAGCTTCTGATGAAGACTTGCATGCCCCCTTGCACCTGAACGGCAGAGCGGTTGCGTAAATATGTCATTCCCCGTAATTGCCATCTTCTGTCTGCAACACATGGTCTCATTACCGGCGTTTCATATGCTAAATGATTATTAACGAGCTTCGTAACGAGCGGCAGCAGAAACCTCCTCCAAAGGCCCTCACAAGATAATTAGCTCCATGCCACAGCGGAAAAAAAAAAAAAAAACCCGGACCACCCTGGTAGATTACAGCACGAGGAGAGGCAATAATCGTTAATGAAGTTTCGCATTTCGATGAGCTGTCAAACCAAGTCAAAGGAAGGAAAGGCTTCCTCGTGGCGCAGGCACACATGGGTCTCTGC